AATTGTCATAGTATTGTATATCTTCTATTGTATATATGTTTTGTTTTAATAAACATAACACAAACAAACTTATTATGATTTTATTAATACTTTAATTTTTAATTTGTATTTTCTACATTTATAGTATTTATTTGCATATTGTTTTTTATTTATAATACAAATAAATTTAAATTTTACTTGCAAATTTAAATAATTACTATTGTATCTATTTTAGCAATGTATTTTTATTAAAGTATTTTATAAAAACACATAAATATCACTTTTTTATTATATTAGATATTACTTAATTTAATTTTATGTAATCTACTAAATATATTTATAGTATTAATAATTTCTTAACAATATGAAATATAATTTTGAATTATTTAAATGAATGGATTTCTAGTAAATAATAATAATAATAAAATTATTATTAATTATAGATAAATAGTTTATAAAAATATTTGTAATAAACGAGTAAATGAAATAATATTTATTGTGAAAAATATTTTGAAAGAATTGTACGGGAAGTAAGTATGATTTTAATCAATATAAAATATAGGGTTGACAAATATTATTTTACACACAAAATAAGTTTTACATTTTTTAAAAATGGACAGTTTTTTATAAGTAAAACTTATTGTAAAAATATATAATTTAATAAAAATTTTCTAGTAATTATATTTTCTATTATAATTTACAACAAGTAATTATCAACAAGTTAATTGTTGGTAAAACTTGTCTTATTTTTAATACATAAAACAAAAATATAATTTTATTTATTAACTATAGATAATTAAAAATTAACAATAACAAAAAAAAATTAACGTAATAGCTGTAATTTAGTGACAAATAAGTATCATATAATATTAATAACACTAATTTAAGATTTTTTTTGTACTTAAAATACTAGTACTAGTTTTGTAAATTTTGTTGGCAACCCTAATAAAATACTATGAACTAAATATTTCATTATATTGATACAGTAATATTTATTCATTAGTTTTATTGTAGTCAATAGCAAACAGATAATATATAAAACTTGCACTTAAATGTCATAGCATTGAATATTTCGCAAAGTTTTATTTAAATAATATATTTTTCTAAAATATAAATCTAAATTGTTTGAAAATTATTTATACGATTTGTCAAAATTCTATTACTGTATAATAATAAGACAATAAAATATTGTTTTTAGTTAATTTTAATTTATATTTAATTTTTAAAACTAAATATTTTTTAATTTATAACATAATTTAATAATTATGAGTGATAATAATAGTAATAATAATGCTAATCAAGTAGATGAAAGTCAACAAATTTTAATGACAACAAAATGTATTGAAAATATTGTTGATACTACCAGTCCATTGACTACCAGTCCATTGACAAACAGTTCACAAAAAGATACTACAAATAAAACAAGTGCTGACAAAAAACTGAGATTACGTTTTACCACTTATTGTCTCTATTATGTGATATGTATGTTTGATTAATTAAATTAATATTTAAATATTTTTTTAAACTAAAATTAATTTTAACTTTGTTTTTTATAGCCATCACCTTTATCTGTGCATTTATACTGTTATGTATTGTTATGGGTTAGACTAACATAAGATGTTATTACAATTTTATTTATACTAATTATTTTTTAAAAAATTATATCAAAATTGTTTTCAGGAGCCCTCTATATAAATGACTGTCCACTTTCACCAACAATACCCAAGTTGTTGATAGTTTTTGGTTCATTAAATGTTATGACTATTATTATTGATAAAATTCGGCAATTGGTTAACCAAAATGATGTTATAAATACTATATTAATATCCATTGAAACTATACTATCGTTGGCTACAATAACCATATTTATTTTATGTAAGTTTTTAAAGAAAATCATATTTAATATTTAAAAAAAACTATCGGTAATTAATTTGTGATTGATTTAAATTATATGACATTTTATAGGGTGTGTCTTTGTATTTAAGTCCAAACCCGAGTTTAAAGACAGTTCATCACAAGATTATTGTCAGCGAAGCTTATATTTGTTTGCCTATTGGGTGCCAATCATTATCATTGCTATAATTATATTATTAACAACAGTTATATGCGGAGGAGATATCAATTTCTAACTGAATTACTAAAGTGGCAAAATAACAATTAATTTTTTAAATATTTATTACTTTTTTATGTAATGTATTATCTTAAAAATAAATTATTTATAAATATACTTCCTATAAATTTCAATAAATTACATTATGAGTATAAATAAATTGACTTTCAAGTATATTTACAATATGATTAAGTATTTAATTTACAAAGTTATAAAATGATAACAATTTTTACACAAATAAACCAATGGTTACCGATAACAATGAGATTAATTTATGATTTCAAGTGTCGGTTATTAACAATTTTGAGTATTGCATATCTCGTCAGACATTTATTTCAAAGATTAATTTTTTCCTCATTTGTTTTCATGTATTAAATATATAAATATTTAACAATTAGATCTTACAATATATTTTATTTATAAAAAATAATTAATAAATGTTATGACAATAACTTTAATTCATAATTTTGTTTTTATTACTTAACAATTTTTTATACAATATTTTATTTGTTTATTTATATTATAGTAAATTAAATTATTATTATTAAGTACTTCATATTTTATAGCATAAATAATAATAATATAACTAATTATGAGCGACAATAGTGACACCAATCAAACTGATGAATGTCAACAAACTTTAATGACAAATAAATGTAATGAAAATATAGTTAACACCGACACTACCGGTCCATTAAGTTTGCCAAAAGTGACCACAAATGACACAACCGATGGCCTAAAAGTTACGTCGTCTCGGATGACATTTCGGGACTTTTTATTAACTCATTTTTTATGTTATATTATTTGTGTCCGAACAAGTAATTAATATTTTTAAAAAATACTTATCTATTATTTTATATTTTAAAAACTATTTATTTTTGTTATAAAAAAATTAGTAATATTTTTAAAAATTTTATTTTATATTAAAAATAGTCGCCAGTATCATCGGTTCATTTACATTGCTATGCATTATAATAGGTATGACTTCAATTAATTATTGTATTCATTATTCAAACAATATTATAATTTATAATTAGTATTTACTAATATACAGTATATACTAATATATAGTATTTACTAGTATATACAGTATTACAAACAAACATCACATAAAAAGTAGTTTGAAATAGTTTTTTTAATCAACTATCAACCAAAAAAAAATAATTGTTACTTTAAATAAAACTAATATTAATTATATTTAAATTTATCAAATGGTAATAATGATTCATTTACTTAAACATTAAACCTTTACATATTTATAAACTATAATTATATTATATACTGTATATACAGGTATTATACAGTAATTTATATTGATTAATTAGTATGATATATTAATCTAATTGTATTTATATTAAGGTGCCATCTATTTTAATGACTGTCCAAATGCACCGATAATTCCTATTATACTAATAATTAATGGTTCATTAAATTTACTATTAAGTATAGTAATCAATATTAGACAACGCTGTACACTGGGTAGAAGGTCAAAGGTTAAACTGGTTTTCAGATGGTCAATATTATTGTTGGCTATTTTGTGGATTGTATCAATGATAATATGTTAGTATTTAAAAATAAAACATACTGTATATTAATAATGTATTTTCATATAATTATTTAAATAAATTAGGGGCATATATGATATTTAAATATGATGACCTGGAGTATTACGATAATACTGCCAATAATTACTGTCATCACTATTTATATAGATTTGCATTTTGGTCCATAATAGTAATCATGGTATTATTTCCATTGTTGTTAGCACTTGTATTAACTATTTATTGTTATTTTTCATGCAATTAATTTTTTTTAAATTTAATTTTGTAATTTATTAAATTTAGTTAATTATTTACATAAAAATAAATCTATTTTGATAATAAACAAACAACTATTTTTTTAGTCATTTATACTATATTTTAATATGATTTATTATTACCAATTAAATTTATGTAATTTTTTTTATCATTGAATGTATTTAAAAATCAAGGTATTCTATAAATATTAAACTATAATAATAATGGATTTAATTATATAGTATTAATAGCTTACAGCAAAACAAAAAAAAATGTTAAACGCTTAACTTGATAATAATTTATGATAAACAATAGTAGCATGTTGATTTAATTAAAATTAATTGCTAATAAATTGCAAATTAGTGTTTGTGTTTTTGATATTAATACAGTTTATTTGAATAACCAGTTTTTATAAACGAAAAACTATAATAATAACTTAACAAATAAGTTAACAAAGTACTTAATGATTCAAAAAACAATACCTAAAAAAGTTTATACATTTACTAAATAATAATAATAATAATAATAATACATGTAATACAGTAATAATCAATAGAGCAAAATACAAAGGTTTTGATTGTATGGTATTTTATTTGTTTCATATAAATATCATTTATAATTAAAATAAATTTATATATCATATACTCATAGATATACTGACATACAGTTAAGTCCTAATCAAATAATGTAATCAAAATTAGATTATTATATGTTCTAATACTGTATATAAAAATGTTTTTAGCATTGTATTAGAAAAATTGTGATTATATTTATTTTACATATATATAATTTCATTGAGACATTAACTATTTAAATATAATATTTCAATAGTTATGTGATTGCGTGTAATATTATTTTCATTGTGAATTTTTTTTTAAATTTATTTTAAATTGATTTTAATTATATTAATAAAAATTAATTTGTCTTAATATAAGAAATTATTTATTTTATTTATTTGACATTATATTACACACACAAAAAATTTGTCAAAATATCAAACAAATGGATGATGAAAATAATAATAATAATAATAATAATAATAATGATATCACTGATGATTGTGAAAAAGGATTACTTGAGTCCAACGAAAAGTGTATCCAAACTGATGTCACTTATGTGGCAAACGAAGAGAAAATACAATTGAATTGTCAATTATTTGGCATTTCTTTCTTCAGATATTGGGATAAACGATCACTTTTTATTGATTCACGTAATGATAAACCAGTTAATGACAGTGGTTTTGTCGACACATTTTTAACATTATTATTTAAGACAAGTATTATTTTATTTTTTTAAATTAATTAAATATAAATAAATTAAAATAGACATTTTTATTATCAGTTGCCGGAATTATTGGTCTATTTATAGCTAATATACTTTTAGTTATATGCATTGTTATAGGTAAATATTTACTATAATTAATTATTAGTTATATGACATATTACAAATCAAATATTTAAATCAAAAAATAATATAATATATATAATAAATTTATGATATCTTATATACTTTATATAGGATCATCCCATATAAACGACTGTCCTATTGAACCGGCAATACCAGTGGTGTTGGTATTGTTTGGTTTATTTATTATCATAATCTCTATTTTAGAGACAATTAAACGTAATTTTAATTCAAAACAAATCAAATATCAACGAATATTGACCATCACCTTGGTCATTTTGAAATTTCTATCATCTATTATAATCATAGTTTGTAAGTGAATATTATCATTTAATATTACTAAAAAATACTTTACCGGTAATTATAATTATCCGAAAATAATGTTTTACTTACTTTTTTTTTAAAGGGATGGTTGTTGTCTACCGGTGCGATGAACCGGACTATTATGATATAAATTCACCCAATTATTGTAATCGAGGCCTATATTTGGTCGGGTTTTGGCTATTGAATGCAATGATCATACTCTGGACACTCATATTGTTTTTGGTTATATGTTTATGTGGTTGTCATGGATTGCTCTAAATTGTTATTTTTATAATTATCTGATATAATGATAAATTTCATTGTAAAAAATGTTTTATTTTTATTTATACGATTATCATAATTAACAAATTTTACTTTTAGTTAAATATAATTTTAATTAGTTATTTTGATTAACTAAAATAAATTTAAATAAAATCTTATAATATATTTGACAAATAAAAATGTTTTTTATGTATAATTTTTTAATTTAAATTTGTATAAAAAATATTTTTATAACAAGTTTTAATATTATTTATATATTTATAACATTTATAATTATAATATTTGTAAATATTATGAAAAAGTACATTTAAAACCCATTATAATAATATAATAAAAATTAATAGTATATAAACTTAAATAAATCTACATTTAATAGATTTACAACAAAACATTAGATTAGATAGAAAACTTGTATTATAAGAAATTTTGAAATAGTTGTCATAATTTAATATACCGTAAATAAAATCAAAAAATTTTTTAACAAGAAATTTAAAAAATAAAACATAAATTTCTAAATAAATATATATTAAAGTGAATATAAACAAAAATAATTTGTAAATTTAATTTTACCATAAATAGACATAACTATAAAAAATAAAATTTTGCGAATAAATTTCTATATTTAAATAATAATAAACAAATAATATAAACAACATATAAAGCACAATAATAATAATAATTTAAAATTAAAATACATGTATATATTTATATTTATTATAAAAAATACATGCACTAAAATCAATACTTTAATTCAATCAATTCACGAGTTAATTGATTAGTCATCAAAACAATCAATTAATTATTCAATCAAAAATTAACTTTAGAAATATCATTATAAAGTATAAAAGTAATCATTATTTTTAAATAAAAATAAGAAAACCAAAACTAAATACAATTAACTTTATCATTAAAAATTGTTTTTAAAATTTGTTTTTCATTTTCTTTTTTGATTATAGAAATCGTTTATCTATTAAAAGTCAAAGTACTAACCAATTAAAAAGACCAATCAATCTATTAAGACATCCGCATCGGATGACACATTTGGCTAACAATTTGGGAACAGTTCGTTGCTTATGATAGGATCGGTTTAAAATAGGATTTATTAATAAATTGTATTATTAAATGCTTGTATATAAATTGATAAATAATTTTTATCAATAAATAACTTTTTTAAATTAAATCCTAATTTAAGTGATCACAATCACAACAAATCAAATCAACAAAATGTAATTAATGTAAAACCCAACAAAAAACAGAAGACATCCCAATTGACCGATTGATCACAAGTTCGCACAAGTGGTCAGTACTTTGGAAGCGTAGTCGAGTGAATCTATTTGGCTTTCGGCGATGCCTTGGCGGCCGCCGACCGATGAGTTAATCCTTTTTTCGTGTTTTGGTCCACTTCTGGTAGTTCGCTCACATCTTCAACCGTTTTCTTCGGTTTCTTGCGAAGACCTGACGAACCCTTTTTGCGTAGAGCGGCCGCTTCGGCAGCCTTTTCGCGCATTCGTCGTAAATGAAAGTTAATAAAGTTCCACATCATCCACGCCTGCAACAGACAAATGGCCGCCAAACAGTTGATTCTGAAGATAAACAAATAATAATAATAATAATTAACATAAATTTACATAACTTTTTCAATAGTTTTTTTTGTTGATGTTATGCAATCAAATTAAATACCTAATAATTTGTGTATTAAAGTTGCCTTCAGTTAAATTTAATTGTGTGGTCTGGTGTGTAGCCAATCCGTACCAAAAGGTTAGCACCGATAGGGTTATGGATCCCAAACGTATTAAAACAAACAATACATTCCAGAGTTTAAAACTACAAAATAATGAAATAATAAAAAAATATAATTAATGAAAAATATAATTTTAAACCCTAAGCCGCGCACCTGTAGTTAACGACTTGCAATTTATCGGCAAAATATAACAATCGAGACAAATGAAACAACGCTTCCACTGTATAGTGAAGTATTGACAGACAAATGGCTACACGAGTGAAACTGTGTGGACAACAAAAATTTTTAGTCAAATAGTCACTGAAAAAAAACAGTTAAACAAATGGACAATACTTTAGGAGATAAGCGGCAGTGAAGAATATGAGATACAATGTGGCGTATGTGATACGGGCGCCCATTTCGTCGCGTTTTACTTTCTGGAAATACAGTTCCGGATAAGCGTGCAGCCAATAGCTGATCTGTATAATGAAGTAAAACTTAAACAAATAGGTCATCTCCTGGTGAGGATAATCGCTCCACAGTTTGCTGATGGAGTAGAGATAACCCTCGCGACGCAAGATCTCTGACGCCCAGACAATAGATATAATAAAGAAGAGCAAGAGTTGGCCGCTTTCGTTGAACTTCGAGTGCTTGATCTTTGATAGATGAAGCTTACGATTCACTTTCTGTATTCAAAAGACAAGTTATCATCAATTTAGTGAACAGATAATTGAAAACAATGTATCAATTAATTAATTTAAACAATTTGTTCAATAAGTTAGACAATGATATCGATTGGTCATTACTTTAGGGGTCAATCGGGTCAACATATGGTATACTCATTGATAACTTACATCCAAGAGGTACTCCTGGATTACGGCGTGCATCACAATCGAGATCAAGAAGTAGAAGAATACAATACAAAGATCTTTGAGGCCATACGTGTATTGAACCACTTCCGATGTGAACACTATAGTAACCGATCGGGAAAAAAGCAAATGAGTTAACACGTGTACCGATTGTGAACCAAATGAGTTTGTGATTGAGGATAGCCTTACCATCAGTGATATTGTGTTGTAGTGCGACAAACATTGTTGCAATCGGTGCAGTCGTCTGAAACAGTAGGCACAGGACAAACACCATTGCAACACATGAGACAATGTCCGCATGATTTGCGATCACAAACTCGTGGGACAGTATTGGCGGCGATTTGGTCGCACCGGTCCTTCTCTTGATACCCATCGCTGTCGACACTCTGCTGGTGATTGTGGTTGCGATCAAAGTGGTCGTCAATGCAGTTCAACAATCAATGGTCAGTACCCGTCGATCGGTTGAGTTGTGCTCTTAAAACAGATGACAATACAGACAGTCTGTAATTGATTTGTTGGCAGCACTGGTATGTCGTGTCTGTGTATGTGTTGTTTGAATTGATGACACAAACTATTGACGTGTAGTTTATTTTGTACACTATTTTTGTTACACAACTAGTTATCTATCAAACCATACAAACACTAAAATTTTATTAATACAACACTAGTATTATAGTCATACAACACTATACTAATTATAAATAATTCATTCAATGCTATTGTATTGGAAATTATAGTGTTGTATGGATTTACTATTAATAATACTGTACAGTATATTGTACTGTTAACTATACTGTACAATAAATAGTGTTAGACTAGTGTTGCATTAAATACAATATTATTTTCAATAGATATTAGTATGAAAACAGTTAAAGGGAGGGGAACTGTATGTTTTGGTTTGTCGTAGTTTATGTGGTTATTATAAATTATAAGCCCGGCTTATGACGTGTATCATCAAAGTTATAAATAAAAGGTTATAAAGGGTTATACAGTTATATAGGAATAAACAATTTTAACCTTGCTCAAAATTTAAACATATAAACTATCATTTTTTTATAAAATATAATTACTAATTAATATTATTATTTTGAAATAAAAATATGTTATATTAAATTTAGTATATTTGAAAAATAATCTAGATAATATTCTTAAATATTATTATAAAATTTTGTAAAAGATTAACTATAATTATATTAGAATATATAAAAAATAATGAATTAAAAATTGTTTTTTCAATAAAAAATTAATAAATAAGAAATTTTATTTTAGTTAACGTTTTAAATATTGTGTGTTTGTCATCACAATTAAATATATATATATCAATTTGAATAAATTCAAATAATACAGTAGTAGTAGTATTTCATTTTGTAAAACTGTTATAAAAAATTAATCATGGTAAATTGTCAATTAATTAATTTAATTAATCTATAAATCAATTATATTATATGTTTAATGAATTTAAATAATCTAAACTAATATTGATTTAATTGATATTAATATTAGTAATAATAAGAATTATTATTTTTTGTTTAAAAGATTGAATTTTTGTGTCCATTATTATTGATATAATTTCGGAAATAGTTGTTATTCTTTGACTGTTCCGACACTTTAATGCCATTTGTAGTCATTATCTTTACTGTCGGTGTCCTCACAGTTGTTGTCGTCGTCGTTGTCGTTATCGCCRACATTTTGGTGGGCAATGATTTAGCAAAAGGTGTCAATTTAGTGTCGGGTGATTTATGAACAGCCGTACGATTGCTGGCTAAACCCATGTATTTGTTAGCACCGGGCAACTCGTAAATCTCGATTGTAGTGTATAGTGGATCGTCTCCCTGACGCCAACCTTCCGGTGCATACATTATCTCTTCCGCCAACTGTTTCTTAGCCATCGATTTAAATCGATTTGATTCCATAGCTTAATACAGTATTATAATAAAATAATATATTAATATATTATATAATATATAGTAAGCTATAAATATGTCAACTTTTTTAAAGCATATTTATTACCAATTTTCATATCTGATGTTTCATACATTTTCTCATTTAATCGTTTATTGGTTTCTAAATTGATATTTGATATTATTTTCGGTGGTTTAACTGTTGTAGTAGTTGTTGTTGTTATTGTCTTTGGTACCATTGCTGGCGTTTTAGTGACCACTGTATCATCGGATACACGATTTGCGATCTCTTTATGATGTAAATCCATGTCATGATATTCATTACGATTTTTATGCATTTGTGCGGACGGCCGATGCTTTTTAGCCACTAGTTTGGCGGCTATCGGTAACGGTGGTGATAGTGGTGGCGATGAAGATGATGATGGAGTGGATCCAAAGTTACCATTTTGGTCGGGAGTCATATCGGAAGTCATCATATCTTCTTTATTGTCATAGCCCTTGAAATCAGACTTCTGGCCAATAAGTTTGACGCTCTCGATGTCGTGTATGAGCCATGAAATAGGTCTTAAATTTTTTAAATATCATAAATATAGGAATATAATATTTATGAAATAATAACTATGATTATTAAGTCATTTGAATGTAAATATAATATAAATTACTAAACTAATTACAATTTTTCATATATAAAAATCTTATATAATTATATTAACTTTGTTTACTCACTTCTATTAAATTGTTATGAAATTTATTAGTTTTGTAATAATAGATATTGCAAATAAATATATACTATTTTTTTATTGAGTTCATAGATAAACTATCAATATATTGTATATTTACTAAAGATTTTTTTTTAAATTTATATTTTACACAAAAATACTTATAACTTTGTTTTAAAAAAAAAAATTAACTAATTTTTTATACTATTAAATATACATAATAGTTATTAGAAATATTATTTATTTTGTCTAATCTAATTCAAAAATAAATTTTTGTGAATAAGATTTTAAAATATTAGAAAATTAATCAATAAAAAAGAATTTTAAACATAGAATTAAATAAATTTTTAATAAAATAAAACTTAATTATTGACAAATACTTACACAAATACAGGAATTTTGAGACTACCGTTAACATCGATCATTACTTTACCATACAATATATTTTTGGCATTTATTGTCGATAGTATTAAACAAATATTTATATAACAAACTAATATTAATTGAGCACACAAATACTTTAATTTATTGTTAGACATTATATTTTGCTAGTTTTTTATATTAAGTAATAATAATAATAAAATAGTGTTGCTGAAATTTTCCAAATACTTGTATCAAATATTAGTAGATTTACAATAAAACTTAACTAATATTTGTTTGTAATCGCAAAAAAATATCCAAAAATAGACTTTTAATTTCAATTTGTTTTTTAATATTACTATATATATTCAATATTTCACTTTATATCATATAAAATGATGATAACCTACACACACATTGAAACATACTATTTCACTATTTTAAAAGCAAAAATTGAAAGCATTTTCATTCAATATTATTAGTATTTTTATTATTTTAACAGATAATTTTATTTATGAAAAATAAAGGCAATAAAAAAATATCACACAATTATTATCATCATTATTATATGAGTTTTTAAAAATTATTTACATAACAATTATTATTATTATTATTTGTTGTTGTTGTTGCTATTTTTACAATATATTGTATAATAATTTCTCAAATTGATAAATAAAAAATATTTTCTTAAACATTTTTAGCATAGTTTTCTTAATAATTATTTTTTAAACAATTTTTTAATATATTCACACAATTTTTACGTAAACGATGGGTAAAAACATTTTACTTATTTATTTTGTTTATCTTTTCAAACAAACTTTTATTATTATTATTATTATTTTCTATTATTATAAATTGAAAGCCCAAAAACAGATTCACCAATAAATAAAAATCGTATTTTATTTTATTATTTTAACACATATATAGTATATATATATATAATTTTGTTTATAAATATCATAAATATATTTAAATATTATTTTTGAATAATTTATTCAATGTTAACAACACTGTGTGTGTGTCTCATCAATAATTGTAATGATCTGTCGACTAATCATTTATTCAGTACACATGCATTACCAGACACACCAGTTAGTCCTAATTTGTAGGACAATATAGACAGCCTATCTCTCTCTYTCTCTCTCTCTCTCTGAGCTCAGATTTTTTTCCAGCACTAGTACTACCAGTTATCCAGTTATACAATAGTAGTGATACCAGTATTAGCGGTAGTGATGATGAGCCGATTCACGTGTAAATAATTGCTATCATTTCTTGTATATTGTGTGTGACATTTATTTTAAATAATTTACTAAATAATTGACAATTTTGTGTCAATTGTGTTGTTGTTGTTGTTGTTTTTTTCTATTGTTACCTAAAAAAAATTTATATAAATAAATAAAACAAAGTTACTATTTTTGACACTTTTTCAATGACATGACTAGTAATAAAAAAATAATAAAGATTTTTATAAATTAAAACAAAAGTTATACCGTATTATTTATGTAGTATCATAATATTAGTTTAAATTATAAGCATAAAGTAAATTTTAATTTTTATAAAAAATATTAATAATATGTTAATAAATTATTATATAAATATCTTATCTTCAAAAATAAGTACAGTATATATATATATATATATATATATATATATATATACTGCATATACATAGAATATATGTATGTATATCTATAGAAATTATTGACCTCCTTGATAATATAGATAATTTTTATGCACTGCTTGTTAATATAATTAATAGCGACACACAATCATTGTTTTTAGTAATTGACAATTGAAAAAATTTATTTATGTATTTGCTATCATATAGTATATTGTATGTTAATTTTGTAATACTAAAAATATTATTTATGTGTGAATTACTCAATAAATGTTTTATAATCAGAAAAGTTGGTCATCCGTTTATTATATATATATATATATATATATATATATATATATCTAGCGATACACTAATACAAATTATAAATATATATCAGTAAATCAGTGAATCGGTAATTAAATAATTGTTAGTTTTCAGTTGTATAATATATTACTGTACTATTATTATATTATGTCTATAATAATAATGATATGTTAGGTTGAATAAAGTACAGTATATAAATTTATACTACAGTATACATATAAATTATATGGAGTGTATGTGACTTAAACTCAATTTATTTGACATATGTTTTTTTTGGTTATCATAGCATCTATTTTTAAAGTGAAAAATTAATACTAAATTATACTTTACAACAATAATGCTTGTTGTTATCAAAAGATGTTAATGTTGATAATAATAATAAAATTTTTATTAATATTAATATACATTAGTATTAAGTTATATAAAAAATAAAGTAATTGTATCTAAAAATTTTCAATTTAATCTTTTATATACAGTATCTTTATTTTATGTCACAAATTTCTATTTGAATGACATTAATAACAATACAAACATAAAACATGTTCTTTCAAATGACTATTTGATATTTGTTTTCTAAATTTAAATTTCATTGAATAATCAATTTGAATAACTTTCAAAACATAAATAAATTTATATACTTTTTTAAATTTTTTTGTTGAAAAGGTATTCAAATATATCATCAAATAATAGGTATAAAAATAGACTGTGATGTTTAATGCTTATATAATTGTATATCTTTTATAAATTGAAATAAATTTGCATAAAAATTACTTATTCAACAATAAATTACAGATTTGTATATACTGTATTTAAAATAAAATAAATTTTATCAATGTTACTTTTATACTGTTTTTTTTTTTATTGTAAAATATATTAAACATTGCATTTATTTTAATTTGTAAAACATATAAGAAAGCAATATTATTGAAATAAAAATTTGTTTGAATCATAAAATTAGATTATAGATAAATATGAAACAAATATTATACATACATTTTTTATCTCATGTGTGCTCATCAATAGATACCGGTTCTTGTGGTATAAACTCAAAAGTATAAACACGTTTAGATTTAATCATAAAAACACAGCCAAACAATACACTAATGATGAGTGAGAAGACAAACATCCCGATCACCCACTGATCCATCAGTGAGTTATCTTTAGCTTTGATGACCGTTTTGATCATCCATAGGGCACATGTGATTGTCCAGGTTATCGGTATAACAAACAAACTAATTTTGAACATCAATTCCGACCAACTGGTGATCTCAAAGTCATCACTTACGCTGATGTGTACCGGTGCTGATGAATGGTTTATATTGTAGTTGATCTCCATATTTCTCGCTGACTCTATGGCATCGTCATTATAGATGACACAAAAGTCATCCATCGCTTATGTTTATAAAATCACTTTATAATAATAACATTATAATAAAATTTTTATTTTATCTAACTATAAAATTTATAGTTTAATTTGTATATCATTTTAGATTATAACAATTTCACGCTTAACTATCATAATATTACTAATAATAATATTATTATTATAATTATTATTATTTAAATAAAACTTAACTATAGGATAAAACAATATTAACTTTTACTAAAAAACATTATATAATAATATTATATATATTAAAAATATTTTCTCATAACTCATGTGAATTGGTTATATATCAATATTTTTGCTCATAAAATGAGACAATTTTCAATGTGATTCAGATTTATACAAACAGTACTATCGATCGACAAGTTTAATATAAAATTTATATATATATGTATATAATGTATATACAGTATATACTGATATATTATATATCATATCAAAGTACACATAGTTATTAAAAAATATCATTTGTTTTGTTATTATTGTTGTTTCTAATGTATGCTGTGGTTATGTTGTTGAGCATTGAATGGCATGTGTTATATAACAGCATTTTCATTTATATACACACACTTACAGAATATTCTGTATGTATATAAGTATGTGTGTGTTTATGTGTTCATCCCTTTTTCACTACAGTAGTATAGCATGTAATAGCAGTGTTTATGTTAGGTGTTTCCTTCTTTAACTACCAGTGCATTGTGTATAAAAGTTCACTACTGTTACATACCGTACATCAGCTATGGATTTCAACACAGAAGCAAAAAACAGTTATAATATGTATTATTGGCGCGACTTCTTGTGTTATGATATCTTAAGTTGTTTATTGATTGACATAAACACAACTTTTCCCTATTATTTCTATGTTATGTAAAATATAAATATATATATAATATGATAGATAAATATATAGTTAAACACTTTTTTGTTTATAATTTTAGAGTAACTCTACATTTTTGTTTATTTTGTTTTCTGTAGTTATTTTGCCATTTAATAATAAAACCAATGTTTTAAGTTTATTTATTGTTAGTCATATTTGTAGTATAAATAAAATTGCTATACATTATTTAGTTAGATATTTTTTAACATTTACTTTTTAAAAACTATTTATTATAAATTTTTCAGTATAAAACTATTATTTAGTTTTAATTAATAAGTATACAGTATATATATATATATATATATACCGATAAACATAAATATAAATAATTTTATGAATTTTGTCCTATTTATCCAAATTAAACAGATTTATAATTTATATTTAGTAGTTTTGAAATTATTATTTTAAAATTAAAGTTTAGTGTATTAATACAGGTTACATACGGTTAATGTTAATTAAATCAAAATTTTTATATTTAGTTATACATAAAAATGTTTTCTATTATTAAAATATTATTAATTAAAATTTTAATTATTAATTATGTTTTCACTAAAAATGTTGAAAATTCATTGAATTTAAACAAAACACTTCTTGGCGAAGATGAGAGCAGAAAGTTTATTACTTTAGATTTTAATAAGCCATCAATGGTTGAGTCAAACAATAGGGCACCGGTAGCCGAACCATCCAATAGTGGACCCATATGTGTATCGCCAGGACTTGTCACTCAGCTGTTGACTATTGTATTAAACTTTATACAGACAACTATATCCTGTATTATAGGATTTCTATCATCACTGTTGACCTGTGTATTGGGAATTCCGTTTTTGGGTGGTGTGGCCCAAGTGCTCAACAATTTGAATCCACTATTGGCACAGATATTA